AATGCAAACGTAGCTTCTTTGATACCTCATTACTGCTATTCTATGTATTCAGAATCTCTCTCTACTATAGGAGCATTCCAACAGGTGGCCCTACCTTCCATCTCTCCTCATTCTAATTTATCCTTCACAAAAATGTCATATCAGTTTTATAATGGAATCGCAGTATTGATTAAAAAGTCTTCAGTAGCTTCTCTTGCTTTCCAAATTTTAAGCAAACTCCAACAGCCAAGAAGACACTGAATCCTGTGTTCTTTTCTTTAAAATGTTTAGAGATTACAGTTATCCCTCGGTGTCCATTGTAGATTGGTTCCAGGACTCCCTCGGATACCAAAACCCAAGGATGCTCAGGTCTCTTATATAAAATGCTGGCTGCTCTAAGAAATAGTACTTGGTTGTGTCTATAATAAAATGTGTCTGATGACTTTAGCTGTATCGTAAGTCATTTAGCTTAGATAAACATAAGGAAGAATTTCTTGGAAGTGAAGTTAAAGAAACTCATTTACCTAGTCTTCTGGCATTGCTCCATCAACACCTTTTTTATTGAATCCTTAATTCTCCACATCTTGAAAGGTAAGACCCTCTCCACTTACCCTGGCCCTTGATTATACTTACTTTCCATTGATTTGTTCTCTCCTATGGGGCTGATGCCTATTCAGAAACACCAAATTTCTTACAGATAATTTTGTTTTTGTCTTTTTAGTTATTTATAGCAAAAATTGTGCCTCTTAAATACATATATTACTTTATCACTCCTTACCCACATAATAATCAAACCCCAAAATAGAGCCACTGGCACATCCTCACTGTTGTTTAACTTATATTTCTGATTAGTTTATACCTGGTGCAATAAATTGATTCCATCCAGTTTTTTAAGTACACAGCAATCTGAATCATTTTTGTTTATTTATTTAGTTCTAAACCCTAGAAGCAATATGGCACAGTAAAATGACTACAGCTTCAGGATCCATCAGACCTGGGTTCACACACTGGCTTCATTCCAGGCATCCATGGAAACATGAACAAATAAAGTCC